ATGTATGTATGTATGTATGTATGTATGTATGTATGTATGTATGTATGTATGTATGTATGTATGTATGTATGTATGTATGTATGTATGTATGTATGTGTGTATGTGTGTTATGTATGTTATGTATGTTGTGTATGATATGTATGTTATGTATGTAATGTATGTAATATATGTAATTAATGTATGTATGTATTTTTTTAGTAGAGTTGCTTATCTGGGCCATTTGGCCGGTTCACGGGCTGGGCATTTTGCCTCAGTGAGTGCAGCTGCTCAGTGGGCCTTCTGCATGAACCATGGTTGTACTGCTGAAAGTAGTCGACTGCAATGTCCGGTAGGTGTTCCTCATCGGCTGTGTCGTCTGGTTGGCTGGGTGTCATGGCCAGTGCAGACATGCCGTGAGTGAGGGCCTCCTGTTCGACATCCTCCAAGGCTGTTGGGAAGTGCAGTCGCCTTGGGGTGGGCCGGGTGGCTGCTGCATCAGCTGGTTGAGAGGGCTCTGAGCTGTGGCTGCTGGAATTGGCCTGCTTCTTGTTGAAGAAAGTACTGATGGGCGGTGTGCTTTTGCCCCCAGCCCCTTTGCATGCTTTGTGAAAAGCCTGGGTCGCAATGATGCGAAGGTGGCTGTCTAGGTTCCAGTGAGTCCCACACTGGGTGCACTTGACTTTTTCTCCTATTTGCCAAAGTGCATGGCTTGGGTGCCCCTGATGGGCAGCCGTGAAGGCTTGGTTGACGCAGGTGCTCTGGATGAAGTTGTTGAAGGCATCTTCATTGACACGTTTGTGGATGTTGATGCCACAGACCAAGCATTTCAGGTAGCCTGTTGTTTCTGCTAGCTGATGATGGCCTGGGACGGGTTGCTCCTGTTGTTTGTCCAGGAGGGATTTGACTTGCTGTGCTCTTGTGAGCTTCTTAGTCAGTGGTGCGGCAGTGTCTGCTGGAGTGTCTACCACATCAAAGACATGCTGTGGGCAGTCTTCTGTCAGCCTTGCTTCAAGAACCTCTGTTGTCAGGCCTTGGTGCATTCGCAGGCCGCACCGACGGCATTGAAAGCCACTCCTTTGATGTTGCTCCCAATGGTGGTGAGTGGGATCCCACGGTTGGCGGCACCGGTTGACAAGCTCTTTTTTGTATTGTTTGGTCTGCTTGCCTTGGTGTCTAGGCGCCTTCTGGTGCACATAGTGCTGGGCGTCACCAAAGATCTTGCTCAATCTGTTGACTGCATGTTCATAGATCAGCTTGTGGTCCTGATCTAAAGTGTCCTGCCATTCTTCCTGCTTGGAGTCAAAGAGGGTTTTTGCCCGCTCCCAGGCTGCTAAGGCAGCTTCACGCTGCCTGCGGCGTAGCTGGGGCTCATTGGCTGGAGCATCTGGGGTTCTGGTGTTCTTGCTGATGTAAAGTACCGTGACTCGTTGAAAGTCTTGGGGTGGTACTTCAGCAAGGATGTCCATGTACGGAGTGCGATGTTTGGCATGGTGCCAGGCTTCCCAAACAGATGCCAACTGCACAATGACCTTGACTTGGTCAGAAGTGTGATTCGCCAGGGCCACCAGTCCAGTCAGGAGTGCACGAACTTTTGTTTGGGCTCCAGTGGTCACTCCAGTGATTGTGCCCAGCCTTTGAAGCTGTCCCAGGGCCATGGTGTGAGCGCTCGGCCGAAGATCCACATTTGACTCCGGAGGTCATAGGTGGAGGGAGTGGCATCCAAAGTGAAGGCCCAGCCGCAGTGCTGTTGGAGTGGGATGATCTGCAGTCCAGCCCAGCATCCATGCCCTTGAAGCGGGTGCTGTTGGGTGCGGGCTTCTTGAGGTTCGAGCGGAATCCACCCATGCGCCCATAAGGGTTCTTCTTCTTGGCTGGTGAGCCTGTGCATCCACTCAGGCGGCATTGGGTCATGTTGTTGGGTTTTGTGCCATTTGCACAACCACAGGATGCTTCGGCGTGGCAGGTACCTGGCACAAAGGGCAGCTTTTGGTCTGATGTGCGTCACGGTAGTGGAGGGCTGCCTGTACCCAGGTGTCCAGGTGGTGTTGTTGTTGCTGTTTGAGCGTCTTCCTCACTTGTCTGTACGTGTGCCAGTCCAAGCCTGTCAACAGGTCATGGTAGTGTTGATTGCTGGCCAGCCTGGAGGTCCGT